ATAAAAATGCTGTATATTTCGAACATGACTTAAAAGAAATTTGACTTTGTAATTTAGCACCTTTATATTTACACCTTTACATGTGCTGTCTCTTTAAGAAACTCCTGCTCCTTCTGAAATTCCATCTTCAGAAAGGTGGAGAATGATCTCAGGAAGTCATCACAACATTGCTCCTCCTGCCAAGCGTTTTGCACACCTTGAATGGTTGCCATGGGAGATTAAATGATTTCTCAAACTCGATTCAAGGCAACACTCCAGGTATATTGTTAGTGAGGGAATAACATGATGGAAAAACTCAAAAAAAGTCACTTTCACATTAATCTACCCCTTCTTTTATCTTGGTACTCTTGACTTCACTTTAAACGCCTCCCTGATCCTTAAAATAACCATCACTTCCCTGTAACAGAGACCAAATGCCATAATGATTGTCTGTGAAAAACAACAGACGTTTTGCTTTTCCAACCGTCCGGTAACCAGTGGCTGATCCGATTTCCATCACCTACCAATTTATGTATTACAGACCTGCTTGTTGAACCTTTAGCTTGCTGTCTCTATGCACTACTTTAAATTCAAATGGGTGAAAGTTGTTAGATTGGAAAGTAATTCTGCTCCAAAAGGTCATCAGTGGTTTTCCGATCAGATCACCGTTTCAAACTTTACAGCTCAGCTCCACGCTCTAAGGAACTTTAGAGATTCAAGTCATATAACAAAGCGGGACAACTATAATTTATGATACTGTGCGGTCACAGTGCCCAACTTTAACAGCTGCTGTTATTATTTTTCCCAGGGCTATAAAATCAAACTCTGGCCCTCTCATCTCAAGCATTCAATATACATTTATGTGTTGCAGGGGGTAAAGGAAATCAAAACTGTAGCCGTGATCCAAATCTGGTAATCTAACTTTACTTACACCCGCAGTCCAAGTTAGTGTTGTGTAATTCATGCCTTCCTCCTGCTGCTATCAAAACCTTCAACGACGGATCTTGTTTTCATGCCTCTCTAGACAAATCCTGAAGTTTGGTCAAATGAACCACAGATGGACGCTTCGTATCTTTTGCCATTAGACGGGGACAACCTGTCTTGGTCCGCCTGGATTTGACAGACTACTGAGCACATGGTGTTAGCGACACGCTCTTACAGACACACATGCACACACACACACACGCCTCCAGAGGATAGGATCTCGGAGAAGCAACACAGCCTATTTCACTGCAAATTAGGTTAATCACACTCCAGAGAGGCCCAGTTAATAACCCTCATAGAGGCTATTAAGATGGCACCTAAATCATAGGACTATCTGGATATCTGATGCCCTCTCATAAAGAAACGCCACGTTTGGCACTGGAGTTGTGCCGAAAGCCTAAAAACAAAGAGGCGGGTCACATAAAGTCCATCAGCTGCAGGCCGCTGATGCTGCGCAGTTGCTTTGTGTATTAGGGGCCCTTGTTCATTAAGCCACTTGTATTATTCAAAATTACACCATCAGTCAGATACAAACCACAATTTAGTGTAGCGGTAACACAGCGCATAGAGCACATGCTCCCCGTGAATACTGATATGAGGACATAATGCCTGAGCCTTCTTAGCTCACAAAGATCAGCCGAACAACTTCCTCCTTTTATCAACGTTTGGGTAAATTTAATATTTATCCAGACTGAACATAATTATACACCCCAAGAAGCGGTAGCCTCCGGGAGACGACTCGACAGGAAGAAAAGTCCTTGGGAAAGATAACTGGTGTCTCTGCTGCCCGTTACGTTGTGCAGCCACAGTAATCTGAAGCCTGATAGCATCTCCTGTGTGCTGGTGGGATGAGGGCTCTCTGTGGGGAAGCGAAAACCGTGTGACGTCCATGAAAGATTCAGTGCCGAGGTGTGGAGCCTGGCATAGATGAATGGTGGCCGGTAGACTCAAATTATACACAATTACAGCTGCTTATGTCTTTGGATCGCACGTAAATTTGTCTTCCACTGGGAAAATCTATCATGTATCTAGGATTTTATTTGCAATGAGACAAATTCCAACGTATTTTAACATAGTTGTTCATAAAAATTTTAAAAAAAAAACACAAAGAGATCTAAAACACATTTTCTCACCAACAACCAATTTTGCAGCCATATTTCTACACAAATAACTTAAAGCAACCAGAAGAGTGTTAATAAAAAAAAAAATACTTAGCTATCTGTTAGTGTGCTACAGATCCAGTTCTGTCAACCTAGTTGTAAGCTTCCCTTTAGGCCAAATGGAGCTACAGTTCACACACACACATTACAAGAATATTTTTTTGATTATACGCATTATAAGTAAAAATGTGCAGAAAGCCTTAAATGATATTAACATCATTATCCCAGTTGTATAATCTCAGGTGTAAAATTTGAGACAAACCTTCTCAATGATATTTTTTTTTTTTTATTTTGATATCACAGATGCTGGTACTGCTGCTGCTAATCATCTTGTGCTGCCTCCCTTTACCAGTGGGTCAAATCATAGGTTTCTAGAATATTTTATGGATTTAGAGAAAAAAATGAGGGAGGGATCTTTGACCATTTCGACTCGATCACCCAGAGTTCTGGCTGATCCAGAGTCTGGGATAAAGTTGAGTTTGTGTATGACTGACAATCACTGTTCTCTGTGCTATTTCTTTTGGATCATTATCTGGCAGTAATACACCATATCAATCACTTTTCATTAAGTAAATGGAAGCCGACAATAAATGTAGAATTATCTGGTAATTCAATTAAAAATGTCAAAGGGCCTGTGAAGGAGGTTCACGGGCCCTTTGGAGGAGAAAACGGCGCCACAGCATCACACATAACTACCGGGCCTTTTTCAAACTTAGTTTTACATCAACGCCACCCAGGAAGTCCATATTTTTTGATTTTGTAATGTGGTGGGGCAAAAAAAAAAAAAAGCTTGGTTGGAATGCGTTACAACCAACTGATGGGCATATGAATGGCATCTAATTGCTGGTATGCAGAACTGATAACCCCAGGATGCCTCACTTTACTGCATTTCTCTAACAATAAGCTAGATTCTTGCTTTTACATCCCTTTCCGTCTCTGCATGATGGCAATAAGAGTTCGCAGTTGATTTTTATAATAGATTCCTCCCCCCGCACCCCCACTGAATAAATGCACTCAATCTGAGGGGTGAATTTTTCAGAAGTCAGTGTAAGATAATGAAAATCATTTTCTTCAAGGGGTTTTTGCAGCTCTTTAACAGTGGGTCCACTGTAGCTGTAAGGCTGATTTATGCTTTAAAAGTATTTATACAACCTAATCCTTTTACAAAATCTCGTACTTAATATTAAATGGCAAGAAAGATTATGTTTATTACAATAAGTCAACCCTAGCCAGGGCGTTTACAGGTTGAAATTTTGACAAAGAATAATCACAAAGCCTTTTTAACAGAGATTCTTAATGAGATTAGTTGCCTAGAATCCATAATGATTAACATAATGAATGAACAAATAACAATGCAAAGGTTGTGGTGTGGAGATTTTTTTTTTTAAACTTCCAAAATGTCCGTTTTTTTTTTTTTTAATTTTGCTAAAGCTGTGCTTTTTAATTTACGCCCACATATCTCCACTCTGAGGGCAGGTTGTTCTTTATCTCTTCAAACAGGTACAGTAGCTCTTCCTGCACAACTTCCACTTTTTATTCCACATTATCACACACTTTATGGACAGCAAGAATTTTCCCTGCAGGATCCACTCATCATCACTGAGCGGAAAAAAAAAAAAAAAAAAACACCCAACAAGAACAAGAACAACTCAAGCTTTCAGCTGCCGTTTGAAACAAAGTGGCATAACACGCTGCTGCCGTCCATGACACCAGTTGCCGTTTCTCCAGGCGTTCCTCTTTTTGACGTTCCACATCCCCACCCAACAAGCAGCAGGAAAATCCCTCAACAGGGAAGCAGATCTGTTCCAACTTTGGACCACACCAGATCTGAAACCAATTCATTTCATCATCTTGTGCATCTGCTGCTCTGCCGACGCCGTGCACTGCCATTACCCTGTGAGGTCAGCCTAGGATGTGGAGAGTGTGTCATGCATAATAAATGTGCGCCTGCAAACGGGAAGGAATTAGATATGCCAGGCAGGAATGAGATTCAGCGGGTGTCCGAAGAATCTGAATAACATTAGACTGTTGCTCATTCAGGAGCGCGTCCTTACTCTTATTGGCTACCTTGATGAGGAATGAATGTGGCAAATTTTGGCTTTCGGTCGGAAACTTCGTAGGAAGCGTGAACTACATAGCCCGTTTCCCATCTATCTTGTTCAAAGTCACACTAAACTGAAACACTGAAAAGAATAACAGTTCTGTCAGGTTAACCTCAGAGCCTCTCTCCCACTAGCTTCCATGGAATATTGTTTCCTACCCTTGATAAGCTCAGATCAGTAAAACTGCAAAAGAAACTTTGAGAGCACAAAACTCTGAAACATGTCATGGACATTTACCCTTAAATCGATGGCTTTACTATAATAGGAACGTATAATTACCTTTAATTTAACCTCCATAAAGTTGCCTTCTAATTACTTTATGATTGCATCTTCCCATATGTTTGCTCTCAGAAGTGGGGCGGAGCTGCCAAGGCTAACCTTGAGGCTGTGAGCGCGTGCGTCTGTGACCGCGTGTGAGTCGTTTGAGCTGTGCTGTTGGTGACCCCTAGCGTTCCTGATGTGAACATTTTTAATGTTTCCTCTGAAAAGAAAACATGTTTTTGCCTCAATATTCCATGTTGACAGCACTTTACTGCAAAAAACTGTGCAGCGTGTGAAATATGCTCTTCCCCTTTGCAATTTTCTTTCCTTCGAGTCCTAGCGTGCACATATTTAATTCCGATGAACTCATAAGTTGCCGTGGCGTAGCTTTAAAAACTGAGACGTGTTGTGAAGAGGGGTGTCCAATTTTCGAAAGGATGTGGGTTATTCGAGCGCTAAAGTGGCAGATTTAATCCCAAACACGCTATTTTAATCAGCGGCAAACGTGTCTCACCTGCGCGCAGCGCTCCTTTTTATCCACATCTTATCTCGGCTGCCGAATCCGCCTCAGTCCTCCAGGTATCCTCCCATTTGGACGGCTTTTCACCTAAGTCTGGGGCAATTTCTAGTTTGAAGTGAGAAAAGCACTCAAGTCACGGACCTTACTCCAGCTGTCAACGCCAGCATCTTTGTTTTAAGTCATATCCTTCAGCGTGGCGCACATCGAATTCCTCCAAGAAGGTGACCAAATCCCACTCAAGCGAGAAAAATATAAATAAATAAACAAGCCAGAACAATAGTCAGCTCGCTCAGAAGTTCATCTGTTGTTCTGCTCTCTTCCTGGTAATCAGTTAAAGGCAGAGGCGGGCAGGTGAGCAGGTGCCCTCAAACTTTGCCTCCGCGCAAAAATCCTTCATTCCTTCCCTCCGGCTGAAAGAGCGAGCACATAAGAAGCGGGGAAAACGGGCCAAGTAGTGTGCTTCTTCATCACTGAGCTGACAGTACGTCGCTTACATTGTTGAGAGGCAGATGAACCTCCGAGAAAAAGGAGGGAGAGAGAGAGAGAGAGAGAGAGAGAGGGAAAAAACACAGAGCAAAAGATGAGGATGCACGGATCTTCCAAGTCAGCAGCGCTGGCAGGGGGTCCTCATTATCTCCTCACATCTCTGGAGGTGTTAAGGGTTGAGAATGGGTTTCAGAGAAAGTAAAAAGAAAGGGATGGGGAGGAAAAAATGATGGAAAATAGGCGAAAGTGAAGGAAGGAAGAAGGAGCGCGATGAGGGAGAGTCCTGGAGGATGAGGATTGTTTCTGAGGAGTTGGAGAGAGAGAGAGAGAGGGGGGGGGGGGGGGGATGAGAGCTTGTCATTACAGAGGAGAGGAGGATGGTCCGTCTCCTCCTGCTGCTCCTCTTCTCTCAGACGAACGACCTGCCTGTCGAGCCCCACGTTGCCGTGACGTCACTTGAAAGGCAAATATGTCATGTGCCGGAGCGCCTCGCGTTATGTGGGAGCGCGCGCACACGCATGGTCGTCTGGGCTTGGCTACATGGTGATGATGTGATCGAGAGCACAGAACTGCTACTTGCCTGCACAGGTAGCAGTGTGACCGAGCCGTCATCTGTTTGGTAAATACAATTATGACGTTGTCATTTGGGGGAGGAGGGGAGGTGTTCACATTTTAGTTTTCAAGTAGTTTATGCATTACGCATTAATGGCGTGGATAAAATAAAATAAAAAATAAAAATGACACACGGTTGCAAGATTTCTCAGTCAGATTGGGTGGACTGCATCTGTCAATATCACCTTTTCCGATTTAGCGCTGTGCTTTGACTGGGCCAATCTTGCACATTGTTTCATGTTGGGGTTGTTCCCAGTGTTCAAGACAGCTGCCTTGTTACTTTGTCTTCTCTGCCCACACAGGTACACTCCTCTTACTATGGGGGACTTCTAAAGGCACTTCAGAGTATCTGAGTAAATAAGGCTGAGGACAAATAGACAGTTTTCAGACTTTTTCTGTGAAAACTATGAAACTCATGTAGCATTCCACGCCACAGTTAAACGCTAATTTGTGCTGGTATTTCACATAAAATCCAAGTAAAATATGTTAAGGTTTGTGATTGCAGCAGGACAAAATGGGGGAAAATGTGCTTTTGCAAGGCACTGTGAATTTCATCCATCCATCCATTTTCTGTACACCCTTGTCCCTAGCGGGGTCGGGAGGTTTGCTGGTGCCTATCTCCAGCGAGACGTTTCGGGCGAGAGGCTGGACAGGTCGCCAGTCCGTCGCAGGGCAGCACTGTGAATTTGAAACATCAAATAAATGAGAAATAGCTCTCAGGTTTGACCCAAGTGAAGCAGGGTTTTGTGTGTGTGTGTGTTTTTTTTTTTAAGAAACAAACCTATATAGGCCTATATATCTAAAAAATTGTGTGATCCAGCACAGCAGAATGACCGCTGACAGAAATCAGCCTGGAACGTCCGCTCAATGTCACAGCTGACCGAACCTCAAAGGAACAGAGTCATCGCTCTGCTTGTGGCTATAGCCTGACTAATAAAAGAAAAGAAAAACTTTGTCAGAGGACTGAATGTCAGTCATCCAATGACTGTGCATCCGAGGTGAAGGTATACTGTGATGTTACTTGGCTGGGGCTGCAGCCGGGACTCTGGCCAGGTCAGCAGTGTGTGACTATTGCTCATCAGGATTGATACACCAACCTGTCTAACTGCACAGCAAACTTCAATTGATGAAGGAAAAAAAAAAAAAAACCAAAAAAAAAACCTGTGGAGTCACTGCCCGCCGTCTGGCGTACAAGCATGTGACGCATTAATAAGACTTCGTAATAACATGGACGCATACCGAGTTTTCATTTCGACTCTGTTGGACAGCACGGACTTCAAACTTTATAAAAGTGGTGTTTTTATATTGGTTTTGTGGTTATTTACTTCAAAATAAAGCCAGAAATAAGATCGATCATTTCCGCCTTATTTTGTGGGGTCTAAATGTACCACATTTCGAAACAACCAATAAAAATGTGTTGACGGTCTGTTGCTAGGTAGAATGGAGACACGCGGAAAGAGACGAGGGGGGTGGGGGTTTATTTGGATACGGCAAGAGACTAGGGCACAGTGATGCTGTGGATTTTACTAAGAGTGTTTCGATGGGTTTTTTAGACGATAAGTGTGTTAGTTAGAGTTCGTGGTGTGTGCAGGGTTAGTAGTAGTTTTGCTAGCTATCGCTATATGGCTTTATAGCGAGCGCTGACACACAGAGAAGAGAAAGACTCCACGCCGGGATGGCCATTTAGACCTCGTCTTCAAAGGGTTAAAACACTATCAGCACAAACGACATGTTAAACAAAATTAAAGCAGTAAAAGTTTGG